CGTCAATGCTGACCAAGGAAATAATGTTCTAGTAGAAACATCTATTTGTCTAAAATAAAGGGTGAGATGATGCCATTTTATATATCCTTATAAGAGTTTATGGGGTATTAATTTTTGTGGAAAGTTAACAAAAAATCTGGAAGCTAAAGAGAAGACTATTGATTAAAAAGGATTATTTAAAATATTATTTGTATTCTTTGTTCTGCTCTATTCCTTCTAGAATATAAAATAATCAACTTGGTGTCCCCTAATTTTTTAGAAACACTCATTATTTTATTCTGTTAGAGAATGTGCCAGTTACACCATGGGGAAGTATGGCAGGGTACAAAGATAAATGGTAAGGGGAAGAAGCGATTTGGAAAGGAGAACCCTTTGACTTAAAAAAAAAGATGGGTTTTTACAAGTGTCTTTTTTTTTTTTTTTTTTTTTTTGAGACGGAGTCTCGCTCTGTCGCCCAGGCTGGAGTGCAGTGGCGCGATCTCGGCTCACTGCAAGCTCCGCCTCCCGGGTTCACGTCATTCTCCTGCCTCAGCCTCCCAAGTAGCTGGGACTACAGGCACCCGCCAGCACGCCTGGATAATTTTTTGTATTTTTAGTACAGACGGGGTATCACCGTGTTGGCCAGGATGGTCTCAATCTCCTGACCTCGTGATCCACCCGCCTCAGCCTCCCAAAGTGCTGAGATTACAGGCGTGAGCCGCCACACACAGCCTTACAAGTGTCTTTTACAGCAGGGATTGGTCAACATTCTTTTTGTGGACCAAGAGACAAAATCAGGGATATTATATCAGTACATATATAACAAGAGAGAAAAAGAATTTACACAACATTTTTGCTGAAGTTAAATATCTAATAATTGAGTACATGAAGAAAATACTGGCCTATCAATGAGAAGAATGTAATTCTTCTTGGGAGTATACATTTTTAAAAATTGGGGTTACAAGTTAGTGTTCCATTATCGAATCGATTACAAATATTCATCTGTAAAATCCATTAGTTCATTCTCTATAAAAAAGTAGGTTCTGGGCCTCATTTAGTTCATGGGTGACAGTGGCCACTTGTTCAGAGTCCTTTTAGAACCCTGGGAACTGATTATTCTCGGCATACATTAGGAATTGAATAGAAGAAAATAAACATGAATGTCAGTGATAGGAGCCAGTTGTCCATATGGAAAATCATAAACAAAGTAGGCAAGGGCTGTGGGGAAGGAACTATAGGGAATTAACCAACATTTATGAAATTTGGATTTAGATAATAGATTAAAAAAGAAATCTCCTGAAAACCTACACAGTCTGTGCTTTATCCAGGCAATATTCATCTTTTTCTAGGTGATAGCTTTACAAGAGCCAGTTTTTGTTTTTTCCTCCTTTATGTAGTTTTAATACTTATTTAAAATATTATTTGTATTCTTTGTTCTGCTCTATTCCTTCTAGAATATAAAATAATCAACTTGGTGTCCCCTAATTTTTTAGAAACACTCATTATTTTATTCTGTTAGAGAATGTGCCAGTTACACCATGGGGAAGTATGGCAGGGTACAAAGATAAATGGTAAGGGGAAGAAGCGATTTGGAAAGGAGAACCCTTTGACTTAAAAAAAAAGATGGGTTTTTACAAGTGTCTTTTTTTTTTTTTTTTTTTTT